CCTAAAACTCTTCTTCACTTCTTTATTTAGTGAAGCGTACGTTGAACTCTATTTCTTCTTCTTTTGTTGTGCATCTTTGCATTGAGGCATCTCTTTCACCATCTTCTTCTAGTTTCTTCTAATAGCTTCCAGATAGGTGTCCATTGAAAGCCATTCCTTGTCTTCCTAGAACAGTTGTACGCATTTCTTTGAAAACCACCTTCAGAGAGTTAGTTGCAATATTCTTCCACACAGGTTTCCTTGGTGATGCCACATAGTGTCTCCGACTTTGCTCTGATCTGATAGCTGCAGTGAAGGTATCACTTATAGTTTTGTCTTTCGCTTTCTGAGTGTTGGACTTGAATTGTGGTATGTCTCAGTTTGTTTTGAGGGATTTCAGCTTCGCCTTGAAGGTTCCTTAAACTCGATGATGGTCTGAGTTCACGTTTATTCCTCTTCCCCACTTTCTCTACAGCAGGCTGAGTCTTCACCCCTTTGAGGAGCATTGAGATGAAGTCTATCTGGTTTGTGGTGTGCCCGTCAGGCACAATCTATTTTGCTTTGCATATATCCTTTTGATTATACATGCTACCTCCAATTACCAAATCACTGAAAGCGCAGAAGTCTGCGAATAATTCTCTGTTCTCATTCATTTCTTCAAGCGAGAGCCTCTCGATCCATGATGATTTCTCTTCCTGTATTATCTGCTCCCAGTTCGGCTGGCATTCATATCGTCTATGAGGATTTTGATGTCACCATTTGGGATGTTGTCCATTAATGTTGTGATTGTCTATAAAAATCTCCCTTCTCCTCTTGTTCCGTGTTGTTTGTAGCACTGTGCGTAGCATTTGATGATTGTGACCTCCATTCCTTCCTTCCTTCTGAGGTGAATCTTGCTGTCATGATCCTACATGAGGAGATTGGTTCCCACTGCATTAGGGCTTTGGCTGTCACTGGTGACATCATGATAGTCACTCACTGCCACAGTGTGTTCGTGGTTGTCGTCTGGGTGACCAGACCGGAGTAGATTACTGACTCTCCAGTTAACAGTTTTGATAGTCCACATCCATTCTGTCTGCTGTCGCAGATACCCAGCACTTCTATACTGTATCTTCGCATTTCATTGTCTACTTGGGCAGCCTTCGCAGCCAGCCTTGTACATTGTATGGACATTTGACGTTCCCATTCTTATTCTTGCTTTCATCAAGAGCAGAAACACTGGCTAGTCGACTAGCTTCCTAAAGGCTCTTACGAGCCGGCGTCATTTCACCTCTCCGATTCCAGCTTAAAATAAGTTAATATTCTATATTTTTGCATTTTGCGGATTTTCTTTTGTGCGTTGAAGTTTCTGAAGCAGTTTGATTAGTTTTGTGGTTAAGGGTTGCTGGCCCTGTGCCTAATCCTTCCTCTTTACCCAGGCTTGGGAGAGGCTGGAAAACTAGGGAGCTAGTAAACTAGGCGAGGTTGCAATGCTATCTAGCGAGCTTGAAATGTAAACAGTAATTTCCATGACGAAAAAATGCCCTATACAGTGGCTCTGACCTCAAAACCGTGTCCTACCTTCTTGAAACCACATGCGATCACCTCTGAAGGAATAAAGCGTGGTGAACTTCCTCCTTTTATAGTGACAAAGAAACTTCGCAATTAAATTAAAAATATCGATTTTGTTGATGAATTCTAACTTTTACGTCACCTCTTATTTGTATTTATGTTTACACAGCTTTGATTCAGTTGTCTGAACATACATTTGGGCAAATACACATATCGTGGTGGTGTGATACAGACAATGTGTCGCAAAACATTATTATTCTCACATATCCCTACATTTAAATACTGCGTTAGCAACAGAATACTATGCATATTTGAACATTCTATTTCACATCGTTTAACGTGAACAAAAATCACACGCTCGATGATTGCTTAGAGAATATAAAACTGTGTATATGTAAATAGTGGTTTGATCGCTTGAAAATATACCTTGGATTCCGTGGCTTGCCTTCTGTTGTTACAATATGAGACTCCCAAGAAAACTTCAAGAGTTTTCGTGGCTTTTCGATATGCACGTCCTGCTGTAGCGGTGGAACACAGTGGCATTTGCTATCAGAATCGTTAACTTAGCAATACTATGTGCACTGTTGCTAAAATACAGAGACCTCGCATTTAAACTTTAACTTGCAAAAGTTATTCTGTATTGTCTCTTTTACCTTTTAATTCATGAATAATCCCCATCCAGACATTAGTGAAAACAAAAACACTTAGTGCAGCTTCGTGTCTTCTGTACCGCTTCACAATAATCTACATTTCTCCTCTTTGCAACTTAAACCAGGGCTTCAGAATTCAAGATTTTTGAAGAAGGGGTCACTGCTTACAAATCCTTTTCAATAGCACACATCACACTATAAATTGAAAGCAAACTGTGGGATTCCAATTAGGGAAATTACTTGAACGACTTCGAGCTCCATTACCTCTCCACCTAACCTAGATATAAGGATCATGATTGTAGTGTGGCTGTCTAGACTGTCAGATGGTTATTCAAAGATGACAATTTAGACAGCATACAGGGATACACAATCACAACACAACGCAGCAACTAAGCTCTTGTTCTTTGAAAATCTAACTGTCTGTATATATACACATAAAGAAATTGGTCGTTGAAGGCAACATAGCTTAGGCTAAGTTAAATTTTTACGGATTCCCTCCACAGAACATCCAAAACAAGCCACTACTTTGGCATAGAAAAGTATATGTAAGTACGTTTGTCAACTAAGCCTCAAGGAAGAGAATCGAGATTCAAGGCTGTGATACCGGATTTCGAAAACTGCAAGTTTTTAATACAGTTCAAAATTGATTTTGTTCTTACTTTTCCACTCATGATTTTTGCTCTAGTAATTTACGCCGGATACTGAATAGCACTAAAGAATTGGTATCTTATAATACGAATGACAGTATCACGAGTGACTTCAGTATATGCATGGTCTCTCTGTAAAGGATTGCCTTCAAATAAGTGTAATCTACTGTGGTGATTTCTAGTTAAGCCAACTTTTTACTGAAACACATTAGCAGATAAAGTAGGAATGGTTGTTATTATAGTAGATTTAACCGAACGGCGTCGACTGTAAAGTCTTGTACATCATTTGAATGAACAGTGTGACTTTGAGTGACCATCTTTAATATGGTTCCGTCGAACTGTTGTCTCTCTCCAAACTGAATTACATGCGATTTTGGTCACCATACTGTCAGCATAGGTGTAAGCAGTGACAGCTCATCTCTATGTTTTGAACTAATCATTAGGTATTCCACTAGGCTGATGTTTGTGTAGAATATGAAGTATAAATCTGTTGTTTCCAAACCTAATGCACTCACTGGATTATACTACTTATGCATTTCATGCATCTACTTAAATCTTATGTTTTAATTTGTATTCAAAAGTGTAAGTAAGCAACACGTAAGCGTGAAGTGAATGAGACTCTACAATATTTACCTTTCATACGTTCAGAATATGCCGACTGCTCTTCTTATTAATTAATGGAACTGTTACCACCTGTAAAAGCTTCGCATCTTTTTCAAATTCTGTCCAGGTAGTAAAATGTTTACATCCTACAGTCCTATCGGAAGTTCAAGTAATGGCAAACGTTTGAGTCCCAGCCATAATGTTGCAAAAATGAATAATTAAGCTATAGTTTTATCCAGATGCATGCTGAGAATTCCATTCTGTATTATAAGTACTGTTTTTGGAATAAAGTAGATTATTATTATTAACTGGCAACAGCAGGGAAAATAAGTGTGACAACCTGGTGTATACCACTGTCAATTAATTTGTGTGGATTAACCACTTAACAAAATAATAATCTATGGGCACATTCAAAATTTTAAAAAATCACTTCAAAAAGTTATGGCAACAGTAAACGTTGAGAAAGTGGTGGACGTAGCAAAATTGAACGAATCCCTTCACAATATAACGTTAATGACCACAAATTCATCAGTAAACTATGGGTAATAACAAGGGCAAGTTAAAGAATAACGATCCAAGGGAACGAACGCAGCAGTGATCTTCTAACGTACAAGCAGGTGAAGGTAGTGAAACCAGGTTAAAAAACATTATATTCTCAAATAAATGCTAAAATAAAGTCAAAAATATTAAGCAGGATACCTTCCTTTTACTTCTTTATTATGAACAACAGGCATGCAAAATAACATCCGACACGGCTTTAAAGGGTCTCCCAACGGTCTAAACAACTGCAATTACATTGGCTTCCAGCTTTCTGAGAGGAAATTTAGGCGGAAATGCAGGATATATACGGTGCAGAAATGCGTTCATTCTCCACCACTATTCTAGAGAGGCATGCTTTGCGAATTCGTACTTCAGAAATGACTGTTCAGGCATAGGTTAAAGAACAGACATCCAACAGACAAGAATGCACAAACGAC